ATAGATAAAGAAGAGGAAGAGAAATACTTCTTAGAATTATTCAGAAGTCAAATCTCATGAATAAAACTAAAATTAATGAATAGAAATAATATTGATTGCTTCTTTACTTTGTTTTTTTTTTAATTTTCTAACTGTTTTTTAAAATAAATTTAAGGATAAATTATCTAAAAAATTGAATATTAATAGTACCAAACACTCTTAAAGTTCTATCTGTGATAATCAGCTTAATACTTAGAGAAACTTTTAATGATTATACTCTTTACTTTAATCAGTAGCTTTTCTATTCATCTATAAAATATTCTTTAACTAATAAATTATCTTAATCATCCAACAGTTAATAATTGATCATCCAATTTAGCTCTAATCATCTTGTTGCTTTCGTGTCAGCTTCCATGGTTTAATTATAGATTAAACTTAATCGTAGATTTAAGTTGGATTATTTTTAATCTTTTATAATCTTAATTAATCAGAATGAAGCTATGATTTATAAATATTATTTTTATATAATTTATATAAGAATTTTATTAAGAAAATCGAATTTTTTTTTTGTTTTTAGATGTGAATTTTAACCTGAATTACGGAATTACTGAATTAAAATAGATTATATGGATGATAAATATAGAAATTTTAAAGCTTTTTAAGCATTATAAAGCACAGATTTTTATTATTTTAACATTTTCTTTTAAAATAAATTAAAGATGATCATTTGTATTCGTGCATGTTATCATCACTTTAATTTTCTCTTTCTAATCTTAAAAATTCTCTATTTTATAAAATATAATTTAATTTATATATAAATTTAAGCTTATTTACATTAATAACTTTTATTATCATTTTTTTCTTGTTATAAATATATATTATTTGGTTTAAATTAAAGGAAAAGTGTAGAAAACACCATTGTTCAGTCGTACAAAGTATGAAGGTTTTAAGGTAATAAAAAGACTATACNTATTTTGACTCTTTCATCTTTGATATATTTTTGCTTCCATATTAAACTCAGGCTCCAAGTTTCTACTTTGAAGAATAAATTTGTGGGAATTTACGACACATTTCCTCTCTTTCACTATTTTTTTTTTTTTTAAAAAGGAGTCTTTCTCCATGAGATCAATAAACTTTAAAAAAAAGTACGAAGCAAAGAAGTTACACTGCAGCATGTTCCAGCTGCCACTACTCGGTAAGGAGGAAAGTTATATTAACATTTTAAAATATACGGTTATATAAATATTAATTCTTTATGAAATTTCTTAAAAAATATTTATTTTTACACGTATTAATCAGTAAATAAAATTTATAAAATAATAATAAGTATGTTTGCAATGCACTCGAATCGTTGGTGGTACCCATGAGATGAATGATGAATAAAGATTTTAACTTAAATTTTTTAAGTTTATAAGCATAAAATTATACTAAATATGATATAAAACAATAATAATTTATATATTAAACTATAAAAATAAGGATAAATTGAGAAAAATTCGTTAAATTCTTTATATGTTTCAATGAATGAGTGTAAAAATTCAAATTTCATTTCGAAAATGTCAACAAACTTCAATTTTTTTTTCTTTTTTAAATAAAATACTTAATCTGTAGAAAGTTTAACAAATTATCAAAGAGAGAACACACCCGAGAACGTTAATTATGCGTTAAAAATTGGGTAAAATGCCCCATTAGTAGTGGAAACTTGATAGATTACTCCGAATCTATGGGGTAAAAGGGCGTTTACTCCTTTATTTCTACTAGAAACATGATAGATTACATAGATCTATCACATTTATTCCATAATTAAATTGTCGATTGTTATGTTTTTTTATTTTTAAAGTAACTCATCTTTATAAGAAAAGAAGTATTGATACAATACAGTACATCCCATAGAAAATAAGAAAAATTAATAAATTAGAAATTACTAAACTTAATGAACTTGTTAATTAATTACTACATTTTTTATTTTTCTATAAAAAAATTATAGAAAAATATTTAAAAGAAGAATCGATTCCTTTTAAATCATAGAAAAATAAGTGTAACACTTGTTAAAAATAAACAAAAATCGTGATAAATTAATCATAAGAGAGAGAGAGAGAGAGAAGAGAGAGATATTTCCTTGTACTCTAATTAGATTTTTTTATTATTATTATTTAATTACTAATCTTTACATATTTAAAATTAAGTCGAAATTAATTGGAGAAAGTTAGAAAATTTATTTTCATACGTATGCTCCTTGCTCCTCTTTAGAATTAGTTATATATTAAATTAAATTAATCAAAATCGATAATTAAAATGCAAAAAAGGATACATTTTTTTATTTAATTTTATTATATTAATCCTTGTATCTTTAATTAATTAAGTAAAGTTGAATTAAATCTACTTGATAAGTGAGTTAGTTGCATACTTTATAAAGAACTGCGGGAGAGCAAAAATTTAACGAATTTCCTTGTTATAAACATTAAAAATACCTTCTAAACTCTTAATTATACAAGCTTATAATATGCATTTTATAATAGATTTAGTGTAGTTTAGACAAAGAGGATTAATGAAAATTATCAGTAGCATCTTTTAACATTCTGGAATTATGTACGAAGATTTTAATCAATTATAACAGCCAAAAAACGATATAAATTAAGCTCATTATAATGTTAACATTATGTTAATTAATTCTAATCGTGTATGCAACCTTATAATAAACCATATCCATCATGATAAGATCGTTAACACGAGCTACATTCTTCACACAAGATAAGAACTTTTATCAATCAATTTAGACCGCTTCACGTTGTCTAAAATGTGTTATAAATAGTAATTTTAAGCAAATAGAGTGGTCCAAAACGTGTAATATTGATGAAGATGAGGATATGTAGTGTGTAGATCACGAGAGATCTAAGTAGTACATTTATACAACTCGAGAACCACACGCTAGTTTATAATTCAAAATTGCAATTTTAACACAGAAAGAAACGTGAAAAATTAATGAAATGAATGGCAAAAAACACACGAGAATATATTAAAAATTTATTATTTATCTATCAAGAATTAGGAAGCAACGAAAGGTAAATCATTTTCCGCATCCCTAACGAATGTAAGATGCTGTAGAGTACAGCTTCTACACCTCATAATATATAATTTTCTTCCCCTCTTCGAAGTGACTTATGAGTAGATAGGTAATACTTTGTCTGGCCAATATACATATAGTCATCATCTGGATAATGTTTCTGTATGAAAGGAACCAATATCTGTTGCAGACAATTCTTTTTGTAATCATCTTGATGGATGGCATTCTTAGATGGCACAACGTATAAATGCGAGACAAATTACTCAAATATATCATAAATATTTGTTCCGTCCCTTTTATGGAATATGAATTTTACAATGGTTTCCACAATTTATTTCTTGCTGAAAGAGGAAAATTTATCTTCTCTCTCCCCCTCTCTCTCTCTCTCTCTCTCTCTCTCCTTTCACCTTATAAAGAATTGTGTCGGATGGTTGATCATTAATGATACACATCCTTCACTGTGTTTTTATAAAAAGTCATTCGTGTTTGTGTTGTAAACGTTGTCTTCTTCTTATAAAAATGAAGTTTTCTTATTGCTTTTCCTTTCTTTTTTTTCTCTCTTGCGATGTTTAATCTTAATTTTCTTAACATTGTCTTCCTTTTCTTTTTTTTTATATAAAAATCTCCGAGTTTTCACTTTCTATTCTTTATTTTTTTAGCCTGTAAATAAGTAGAATATAGTTTAAAACTTCAATTATCTCCTTCCGCATCCTTCCTCTTCCTACTCTACTTACAAATATAGAGTAGAAAGAGAAATGATAAAGAAGAGGATAGTCCTTTTCATACTTTCTGTATGAGTAGGAAGAAGGATTATCTTCCTTTTCATCCCTCCTTTTTCTACTTTACCTGTATATAAATATACATTAGAAAGACACAGGATGAATAAGAGAATAATCCTTCTTTCTACTCTAAATATATAGAGAGTATGAAGAGGAAGTATTCTCTTCTTTATCCCTTCTCTTCCTATTTTACATGTATATCTAGATATAGTGTAGGAGATGGAGAGATGAAGAAGATAACTCAAAATTTAAACTAGATTTTACGAGGAAAGAAGATTGGTATTAAAAAATGGACATGGAATTTTAAAGTTTTCTGATGATATAAAGTGTGAAAAAGATTACAAACGAGATAGAAAAGGAAAACTTGAAGAGATTCTCATTATATCTGGATTAGAAATGGAGTTTCTTATTTATTTATTTCTATTATTCTTAGCTCTTTCTCTCTCTCTCTCTCTCTCCTCTCTCTGCTCTCTCGTATCATAGAGAAAGCATCAGAAGCAAAGAATATAGAAAGAGCAGCTAGAGAAAAAGGGCAGCGAAACGAACCAAAAGAGTATAGAAAGTACAAAAAGTAGAAGTAGAGATAACAATTGAAGTAAAGGGAGTATGTGGAGCAGATGGAAGAGTAGCAAGAAGAGATGGAGCAGAAGGAAGAGAAATGGAGAGAGAGAGAGAGAGAGAGAGAGANTCTTCTTACCCCGTCCCTCACTCTCTCTCTCTCTCTCTCTCTTCTTCAATTCCCTACTGTATCTCACTTACACCAAATTATAAGATAGATTAATACCTTTAATGGCTTGCGCCAGCTTCTGTTTTGTTATTAAACTAGCATTTTATGAGAAATGAGTAATAAATAGACAGGAAATTTCTTGATTTTTTTAAAGTTAAAGTAATGCATTTTTCTTAGAAAATTGGATTATTATATACTACATCATTTGTGTAAGCTTTTATAAAGTTTGTTAACCTATAAAGTGTGGAAAATTACTCTTATATTCAAAAATAACATCTTTTTTTCTCAGTTATCAAGCATTAAAACATGATAAACACTCAGAAAATGAGTAACTTTACCGAATTTTAATAATAAAAACACAAAAATATTATTTAAATTTGCTTTATTATCAAAAAATACATTCAAAAATACCAGTTAATAAACTCCAAAGATGTTAGAAAATATTTAATTTTTACCAAGTATAAGCACCAACGTAACAAGAGCAGGATGCATCTAAGCGGAAGATATCGATCCTAAAGGGGTTTCCATAATAATCGTAAGGATCATATATGACGAAACGATGATAAATCGATTTTTGCACACAAGAAGAACTATAACAAGTTGGTACAAGTGGGCAAGGGTCATTGGCTTTCCTACAAAAAACATAGATAATGAAGCTCTTGTATGGCCACTTAAGAAAAACCAAAAAGATGGGAAAGACGAAAACCTCATATACTTACATACAACTCTCAATCCTTGTAGTTTGATAATATTTCTCAACGTTAACAATGATTTTCCATTTACCATCTACATCTTTAGCTCTCAGAGGTCGAGCGTATAATGTTGTAGAGGGGCAAAGATACGTCTCTTCTTCTAAACTTTTCAAGTTATCCACCGAATTTCCAGTATTCTGAGTAACTTCCGCATAAAGTGGTTGAAATTCTTGATAATATTTATAAATCGCATTCTGAATTTCATACCTGCAATTATAAAGTTTCGAATAAGTTTTCGAGTGATCTTACGAATAAAATTCTTCAACCCCCCTCTTTCTTACCCGGGATATTCGCTATCTTCTAAGCAATAAGTTACTGTTGTATTTTTAGCGAATATTCATACATTTTTATTAAAAATACGATCGCAATAAGGATGAAAGTAATTAAAACACGAAATATATGCAAATTAAAGAAATATTTTGATAAAATTTTAAGTAAATCTTGATAAATTCACTAGTAAAATAATAATATAAAATGAGAGTCACGAAATTAATGTCGTAAGCGATACGTGATTAACCTGATAATGTTTCGATCGTGACATAGATTTCTCTAGATAATGTAACTAATGCTATTTAAATATTTAATTCACGAAGCGAAACTATATCTACAACTACTTCCTGAGTATCATTTACAAGATATTTATTTATATCCCTTTTTTGATGGTTTAACTTGAAGCACAAGCATCTCATCATCAGTAAGGTTATCTCTTCACACACGTTAAAGTATCTACTTCATATTAATTCAACAACCCACTAGACGTAAAATTGGAGGTTTTAATTCATATTTAACTATAAAATATAGCAATTTTTAATGTATTTAATATCCACGACATCATCCTAGCATCAACTAAAACGTGATACTCGCAATTATAGTTAGAGAAAAGATTGAAATTTAGTAACATCAAAACGTGATATTCTCTCATAGAAGCTTTAAAACTCGACAAAGTTTTATATTTATAATTATAATAAGTATCATTTATCGTATTTTAGTAAGTAAAATTTAAATTAAAATATACTTTATAGAAGAGATTTAAAAGTGATGATGCGGGAGATGCGGGAGATGTGTGCTTATCCAGCATCTTTTTAATCGCTTAAATGATAGAAAAATTAAGATTTATTGATACGAAAGTAACAAAATATTTATAAAAATTTATAAAATTTATATTATCACTCCATTAAAGAACAACAGGAGCAGAATAATAAGATAAACAAGTGCTTACTACGTGATGCTAGACGTACGTGAAGAGATATTTTTAGTATCTTCCTAATAGGTCATTAGTAGATTATAGTAGGATATTCTTTTGTAATTGGTGAGTAAAGGAAGACGTGATATCAAATCGCAGTTAACGATATATATATAAAAAAAAGGAAGCTAAAGACTAATGACGTTGTACAAATCCTCCAAGTTGTTTGTCTTTCACCAGTAATTGAACCCGGATACGAGTTTATAATTGGCACCCCTCGAAGCGAAAATCCTTAACTTACTCTTTAATTCGTTGGACTAAAAGGAAATAATTATCTATACAGAAATTAATTAAAGTTAATTTCTGGAATTTTCAAGAATCTCTTCTTACCCCGTCCCTCACTCTCTCTCTCTCTCTCTCTCTTCTTCAATTCCCTACTGTATCTCACTTACACCAAATTATAAGATAGATTAATACCTTTAATGGCTTGCGCCAGCTTCTGTTTTGTTATTAAACTAGCATTTTATGAGAAATGAGTAATAAATAGACAGGAAATTTCTTGATTTTTTTAAAGTTAAAGTAATGCATTTTTCTTAGAAAATTGGATTATTATATACTACATCATTTGTGTAAGCTTTTATAAAGTTTGTTAACCTATAAAGTGTGGAAAATTACTCTTATATTCAAAAATAACATCTTTTTTTCTCAGTTATCAAGCATTAAAACATGATAAACACTCAGAAAATGAGTAACTTTACCGAATTTTAATAATAAAAACACAAAAATATTATTTAAATTTGCTTTATTATCAAAAAATACATTCAAAAATACCAGTTAATAAACTCCAAAGATGTTAGAAAATATTTAATTTTTACCAAGTATAAGCACCAACGTAACAAGAGCAGGATGCATCTAAGCGGAAGATATCGATCCTAAAGGGGTTTCCATAATAATCGTAAGGATCATATATGACGAAACGATGATAAATCGATTTTTGCACACAAGAAGAACTATAACAAGTTGGTACAAGTGGGCAAGGGTCATTGGCTTTCCTACAAAAAACATAGATAATGAAGCTCTTGTATGGCCACTTAAGAAAAACCAAAAAGATGGGAAAGACGAAAACCTCATATACTTACATACAACTCTCAATCCTTGTAGTTTGATAATATTTCTCAACGTTAACAATGATTTTCCATTTACCATCTACATCTTTAGCTCTCAGAGGTCGAGCGTATAATGTTGTAGAGGGGCAAAGATACGTCTCTTCTTCTAAACTTTTCAAGTTATCCACCGAATTTCCAGTATTCTGAGTAACTTCCGCATAAAGTGGTTGAAATTCTTGATAATATTTATAAATCGCATTCTGAATTTCATACCTGCAATTATAAAGTTTCGAATAAGTTTTTGAGTGATCTTACGAATAAAATTCTTCAACCCCCCTCTTTCTTACCCGGGATATTCGCTATCTTCTAAGCAATAAGTTGCTGTTGTATTTTTAGCACATGCTGGTTCCTTTGGATAATAAGGAGATTGATAATTTGGTTGTCTATATCCGTATCCTTGAGGTGGATAAGGTCTTTGCTCCTCCGCATCTTTGTATCTATATCTTCCTCCTCGATTGTAATTGTTGTATGGATGAGAAGCGTAGTTAAAGTATAAGCAAATGGAAAGGATTACCTGTAAAATTATTTATATTTTTTAATATATTTTAACGGTATTTAATATGAGATTTAAACTACTTACCAGCTTTAGCATGTTTAAAACTTATAGAAGAATATAGCTATAACACAACGTGGGCATTATATATACCTGCTATAGGGAAAGTTAGAAAGTGAGGAATTGGGTCATGAATTTTAGAATTTTAACCCCCCAGTGGAGTGGTCTTGTAGAGAAAGTCTTTTTCCGTTATTAAAAACGTATATAAACACATATTCCAAGCGTAAAATGGGTATAAACTTTACAAAATGGAACGTGCAAGAAGGTTTATACAAGTGAGTATATGAGAGTTTCTAACATCAAAATATCACTTGTTAATGTTATTTATATAGATTTTAAATTAATTTTAAGATTTCTCAGTTAATTATCTCGTAAATTTTTATATTAAAAATTTAATAAAGTATTAAAAATTCAATAAAATTCGTTCTTAAATTACATTCTAATCATATGTTGTATAAATAATGTAACATTATTGTTTTAAATTTAAAAAACTGTATTAATTTTATTTTTTCATACAAATTATTCAATCAAATTCCAAAAGAATTCTTAAAAAAATTCAATTCTGATGGAAAAATTAAGCAAAATTACTTAAAATTCGTACCAAAATGAAAACACGTAGCAACGCTTTTTATTAACAATTTATCAATTTCGAGGCTGTTAGAAATGGGAAAAAATTAATTTATAATTATTAAATTTTACTTACAGAGCTTGATTTTTGCTTACATAAGCTTATTGGTCTCAGCAGATCAGTATCAACCATCTTATCCTCCGCATCCTCAGCACTATTCTAATTATAGAGATTACTACAAGTGTGATCCTTATCAGCGACCAACCTGCGCTTTAAATAGTACTTTACCATATTGTATCGAGGATGCGGAATATCCTAAGTAAGTTAAACAACTTTTTAACAGTCATTTTTTATGTTTTCTTTGATAAAACTCGATTTTTCTAGGGATGAAATTAAGGCAGCAATATCATCAGATCTCAAGAAGTTTCGCAGACAGTACGCTGATGTACCAAAACAATCTGCAGACGATCTGGTGAATGGTATCACGCAGAAACAAGAGAATTCTTTCGATTATAGTTATTATACTGGAGCTAACACGTTGGATAACACTCACTGGAGCGGACCTGAAGGTTAGTAACCTTTTACATGTCGCAGCTCCAATCTTAACTAGTTTTCATATGTATAACTGAAATTATGGCTAATTTACTTAATAATAATGCTTAAAAAATAAGAAAAATCAGCGTGTTTAAGACTAAAATCGATTTATATAAACTTTACCAGCATCAGCCATCGAGTATCTTCTTCATTCTTCGCATCCTTAATACTATTCTAATTAACGATAGCCTATCTTAACAGAATTTTGCCTTAATTTTACTTAATAAAACGCTTTAAAATAAGGAAAATGAGCATATCTACAACTAATATTAACGAGTATTAATGCTTCAAACAGTATCAGCATCAATTATCCAACATCATCCTCTTCATCCTCCATCTCCTTAATTAATAATAATTTACCTTAAAATAATCCTGGCTAATTAAAAAAAACCACGCTTAAAAATAAGAAAAATCAGCATCTATAAGGATAAAATTAATATATACAGAGCTTACCAGCATCAGAAATCAATCATTTTTTTTCATCCTCCGCATCCTTAATGCGATTCTACCTTAAAATAATTTTATTTTTTTAAATAAAAACGCTTCACAAAAAAAAGAAAAATAGGGTAATAAAGAGAGGGAGTAAATTTCATGATAAAATTTCATATCACAGGATACATTTGCCCTTCAGAAGTTCAGTACGCGATGCCCAAGAGAGCGATGAACATTAAAGGAAAATGGAGAGTGATTGTCAACGATGGATACTACTACACCCAAACAGCACGTGTGGAAATTTGTCTGTAAGTAAAAATCGAATAAATTACGCCATAAAAATGTAAATAAATATATTTTAAACACCTCCCTTGTCAACAGCTACCCCGACACTACATGTAGACTCCTGGCTCCATGCTACGGATCTAAATGTACACAGAAGTATGTTTATCATAGGATGTTATCTTTAGATCCTTGTGATCATTACAGAGGTCTCTTCATAGATTTATATAGATTTCCATCAGCTTGCTCGTGTCGTCTTCCCTCTAAGTAAGGATGAGGGGGAAAAAAAATCATATAAATTCAACAAAAATTGTAAAATAACTCTCGAGGTGAAGGTGAATAACTGTTAAGAAATTGATAATAAAATTTATTTTTCAACGTTTATATCGTTTTTATTATTTTTTAAACATTGATTTAAAGATTTAAGGGTCATAAAAAACTATTTATAATTCAATTATTAAGAGTTTCTCCAGCATAGAAACTCATGAATTGTAAAGAAGAAATTGCACTCGAGCTTGGAGGTGATAAGCAGTTTCAATTTACTTTCATCCCCTTTTTTTTTTCCTTTCTCCTTCTCTACTGCTGTGTAAAGTGGATAATGAATTTTATTTTGTTATATTCTTTAATTTAATAGAGATTTAGAAGAATATGATAAGAAGAATTTAATGAAAATAGGCAAATCAATGTTCATGATATTAACTCATGGTTAGAGCTTAGAAATTGGTTGTTTGTGACAGCTGGACTGCATCAACCAAGCGTGAATGATTATTCAGTCATCTGAGAGATACTTCTGATCTAACTAATAATGATTGATATTATGAAAATTTATATCAGAGAAATTATTTATCAGTTTTAAATTTTCTTCCTTCCAATTTTCTATAAGGAATCCATTAAAATAATTAAAATTTAATCATTTAATAATAAAAATTTATAATAATTTATCAGATAATTCGTAACTGTAGCTAATTTATAATAAAATATAAAATCTCCACTATTAATTTCTTAAATATATTTACAATTCGATGCTTAAAATCTTTGCTTTTTTAAGCTTGAAATTGTTGATTATAATTAAAATTCTGGAGAAAATAAAACGAAATTTGCAAGGAAAACCTTAAAAATATATATTTTTACGATAGTTTCGCCTTAATTTATCAAAATCTTATTAATTTATTCCAAATTATGTAGATTTTAAATGGAAGAAGTCGTACTAGTGTTGATGCTGATGATCTTTTCAATGTTATACAACATTAAGATAAACATTAGCATCAAATCATCGCATCATCATCAGCATTTAACTAATTAATTACAATATAATATTAAAGCAAATTTTGACAGAAATTACGGTCTAATTGCTCAAAATACAAGAAAAGTATCGAATCTTTGAAACATTTTCTCGATTTTATCCACGTGTTGTAATAAAATTTCAATTCAAATTTAACTTCACACTTCATCCCTGATAATTTAATAGTTTTTAATAGTAAAAATAATGTTTTTTTTTAATTATTTAAACTCGTATAATCCTTCTTAAACTCTTTATTTTTCTTAGCATTACAAGAGAAAAGTATTGTTGAAGTTGTGAACATTTGGCAGCAGATTTCTCGATAACAATATCAGCAACACTAACTTAGATTATGTTTATTATTCTTAGCCCACATGGCCCATCTGTTTATTAACGTAAACCCAAGTTATTAAGGGCACAATGCCAAATATCGATGGTTGGATTTAACTGATTGAATTCTGTCTTAAGCACTTTCTTCACTAATGACAGATGGATAATCCAATTTATTCTGAATTTATTCGATTTATTCGAGAGGAAAACAGATGGAAAATGTTTTCTAGATAAGAATTATGATAGAAAATATTATGTTTTAGTTAATTAAATCGATTTTTAATAGAGGAAATTGATTCTAAACTATAAACGTAGCACAGAAAGAATGAAGTCTTTTCTATATTTTACAATTACTCAGGATAAATTTTATTGTTTTTTTTTCTTATTTTTAAGATATTTTACTCTTTAATTTTATATTCTAAAGCAAAATTTATGTATAAATATTTAGAATTTTCTACACATTTATATATTGTATCTTACTTCTTACATGTAAATTCAATGATAGGGTATATAGATTTAGTAATATTCCAAGCAAATTTTTCATTGAAAAATGAAAAAAAGGCCAAAAATTAACTTTAAAAAATCTTGTTTTCTTTCCTAAAATCTGCAAAATTTTCATGTTTTTCGAATAAAAACACAAAATTGTTTTTATTTTCTAAAACTCACACGTCATTTGGACTTGACAAAATATCTTTAAAACAACTTTTAAAATCTAAAAAAAATACAATTTTATGAAAAAATTTGACAGATTATAACATTTTTAAGCTAAAAAAATCCTNGAAAAGTATCGAATCTTTGAAACATTTTCTCGATTTTATCCACGTGTTGTAATAAAATTTCAATTCAAATTTAACTTCACACTTCATCCCTGATAATTTAATAGTTTTTAATAGTAAAAATAATGTTTTTTTTTAATTATTTAAACTCGTATAATCCTTCTTAAACTCTTTATTTTTCTTAGCATTACAAGAGAAAAGTATTGTTGAAGTTGTGAACATTTGGCAGCAGATTTCTCGATAACAATATCAGCAACACTAACTTAGATTATGTTTATTATTCTTAGCCCACATGGCCCATCTGTTTATTAACGTAAACCCAAGTTATTAAGGGCACAATGCCAAATATCGATGGTTGGATTTAACTGATTGAATTCTGTCTTAAGCACTTTCTTCACTAATGACAGATGGATAATCCAATTTATTCTGAATTTATTCGATTTATTCGAGAGGAAAACAGATGGAAAATGTTTTCTAGATAAGAATTATGATAGAAAATATTATGTTTTAGTTAATTAAATCGATTTTTAATAGAGGAAATTGATTCTAAACTATAAACGTAGCACAGAAAGAATGAAGTCTTTTCTATATTTTACAATTACTCAGGATAAATTTTATTGTTTTTTTTTCTTATTTTTAAGATATTTTACTCTTTAATTTTATATTCTAAAGCAAAATTTATGTATAAATATTTAGAATTTTCTACACATTTATATATTGTATCTTACTTCTTACATGTAAATTCAATGATAGGGTATATAGATTTAGTAATATTCCAAGCAAATTTTTCATTGAAAAATGAAAAAAAGGCCAAAAATTAACTTTAAAAAATCTTGTTTTCTTTCCTAAAATCTGCAAAATTTTCATGTTTTTCGAATAAAAACACAAAATTGTTTTTATTTTCTAAAACTCACACGTCATTTGGACTTGACAAAACATCTTTAAAACAACTTTTAAAATCTAAAAAAAATACAATTTTATGAAAAAATTTGACAGATTATAACATTTTTAAGCTAAAAAAATCCTGATTTAAGACATAAAACAGTTTTCTTTAATGAAAAAAATGAATGTTTTTTGTAGTGATGCGGTGGATGAATTGATGCTTATTTACAATTAAATTTCTAGAAAATATTATAAAATAATTAATTATTAAAAAAATAAATTATAATTTTAAAAAAAAGGAATAAACAATTTTAAAGTGTTTTACTTTCATCATTTTATAATCGGATAAAGTTGAGAAATTGAATTCCTGATGTCGAGTGAGCTTAACATCTAAACCAATGAGATCAAAACTTTATCTAGATTTTTTTTTATTATTATTCTTTTCTAATCTTCTTATCTATTCTAGAAAGAAACAATCTTTTATCATTTTTTTCTTTAAATTCTCAGAAGAATTTCTGACTTCGACACTTCTTCAAAGATTACTTAAAGATTTACTGTTATCTACTGCAGTTTTTTCTTGGTTTAGAAACCGCAAGATTATTTAAAAAATCAATTGAATTTCTTCAAAATTCTTATAAAATTTACGTTTTTTCCTAATATAAAAACTCTTTTTTAATTATTTTATTTAGATTTTAATAAGAATTTATCATTAAATTATCGTTTTTGAAGAATATATTTAAGTTAAAAGCGTTGGATATATGATGCTGGTATAGTAATTTTAAGCATGAAAATACTATTTCCTTAGTTTATCATCCTATTCTGAAGTATATTAAAGTAATTCCAATTAATAAATACGTAAAACTTATTAGTTTTATATTGATTAAAGTAAGGAAAATGCTTAAATAATCCAAAATATTTCCATTATTTTCTAATTTTATAGCTATAACAACTGATTTTTACCAGTTTTAAGTGCTAAAATTTCGTATTGGTTTTTAATGATAATGCTCTTCTCAACATTAGCCAATGTTAAGATAAGCATCTAGTATCATAATCAGCATCTAGATGATACGAAGAGATCAATATAGTGCTAGAGGCTGGTACATGTCTTAATATTGGATACATAGTTTCCAATTGTTTAACAGTGATATAATAATGCTAGAACTGTAAATTCCTTGTAATAATAACATAAAATTAACATTAACACATATTTTACAGATTAAATATTATTTAAAAATCAATTTTTAAGCTCACAAAATACCCTTTTTCCACTACGAGAGAGATCATTGATACTAGAAGAGTATCTAGAAGAACCATAAAATTACTAAATAAAATGAATATTTTACTGTTTAAAGCTATAAAAAAGATAATTTTATTAAGAAATTTACAAAATCTGCAAAAGAATTTGGTTTTTCCTAAATATTTTCGAGAAATTAGTGAAAAAAATAACTATAAAATAGTATAATCGACATGATAAAATCTTAATTATCTTTAAGAATTATAAAAAAAAAATTTATTAATTTTATACGATTTATAACAATTTTTATCCTGTTTACGGATCATAAAATTATATAAAAAGAAGAAAAACGATGATATTTTCAACATAAAACACAGTTGAATGTAGAATGTAGAATGGTTTCGGTATGGTGGAAAAGTAGACTTTATGCACGAATTTCATCATTTTCATTTTTCCCATCTGTTTGCTTGAAATATGTGATTGTTCAATGGGTAAAAAAGGTCATTTGGGATACATTCAGCAACACCAAACGTCCCTTTTTTTCTGATATTTTCCTTTTAACCTTCATTTTATTCTCTGGAGGTGATAAGCAGTTTCAATTTACTTTCATCCCCTTTTTTTTTTCCTTTCTCCTTCTCTACTGCTGTGTAAAGTGGATAATGAATTTTATTTTCCATCTTATCTCTTGCGTTTTTGAATGTTTGAATGAATTATATAGAGAGAAAATATATATATTTTTTTCCTTCTTGATAAAATCCTGTTAACCTTTC